CAAGCAGGGGGAGCTGCAGAGGGAGAGGGAGAAGCAGGCTTCCCGCTGAGCAGAGAGCCCTATGCGGGGCTCGATCCCAGGACCCCGGGATCATGACCTGAGCAGAAGGCAGACACTTAACCGACTGAGCCACCCACGTGCCCTGTTTTCTTTTTTGTCTGTTTTTTTAGATTTTATTAAATAAAATCTTTTTACAAATTATTTGAATTATTTCTTTTTCTCTGTATATTTGAGATACACCAGATATATAGTTAAGTTCCTTTGTTAATGTTTGTTCCTTTGTTAATGTTTGCATTCCATTTTAGTTTATCTCTTTTCTCTCATCTTTAGTGAAGGATGTTGTAAAACATGTACATGATTTTAAAGTTACAACCTTATAAATATGTACAAAGAAGTCCAATCTCTTACCTGTAGGTAACCAGCTTCAATTATTTCTGGCTTATCCTTCTTGTAGTTTTTTTTTTTTTCCCAAAAATACACAAATATACATACATATATGTATAAAAACACATCATGTGTATGTGTGTGTAATTTTCCTTTCTTCACAGACTATTAAAGTGATTTTTTGAATGTAAGTATTGAGATGAGTATGTCTCAACTATTGCTTTATTTATTTTTTTATTTTTTTTATTTTTTTCAAAGATTTTATTTATTTATTTGACAGAGAGAGAGATAGCGAGAGCAGGAACACAAGCAGGGGGAGTGGGAGAGGGAGAAGCAGGCTTCCTGCCGAGCAGGGAGCCCGATGCGGGACTCGACCCCAGGACCCTGGGATCATGACCTGAGCCGAAGGCAGACGCTTAATCATCTGAGCCACCCAGGCGCCCTCAACTATTGCTTTAAAAGCCTCATCCCGGGCGCCTGGGTGGCTCAGTCGTTAAGCGTCTGCCTTCGGCTCAGGTCATGATCCCAGGGTCCTGGGGTCGAGTCCCGCATCGGGCTCCCTGCTCGGCAGGAAGCCTGCTTCTCCCTCTCCCACTCCCCCTGCTTGTGTTCCTGCTCTCGCTATCTCTCTCTGTCAAATAAATAAATAAATAAATAAATAAAATCTTAAAAAAAAAAAAAAAGCCTCATCCCTTTGCCTTTGGTGTAGTTGGATTGATTCCCAGCAGGATAAAGGACATTTTTCTCCTCACAAAGAGTTTCAGGCATTGGCAAAAAGAAAGGCAAAGACAGTTTCTCCTCTTAACCTGAAGCCCTGGGCTGTACTACTAAGGAACCCCCTCCAGCTCAAAAGCCTTAGAGCCATGGGAGTCAAGCAAGAAAGAAAGAGTCCAAATTTGTCAGTACCATTGGTGGACGGCTAAAACCTGCTAATGTAGAGTTAATCTACACTACAGTTTACCAAACTTCTCTGGTACCTCAAAATCAAAATAAATGTGATGAAGTTTTTGTTTTTTAAAAAGAAAAGCAAGGGGTGCCTGGGTGGCTCAGTCGTTAAGAGTCTGCCTTCGGGGGCGCCTGGGTGGCTCAGTTGGTTGGGCGACTGCCTTCGGCTCAGGTCATGATCCTGGGGTCCCAGGATCGAGTCCCGCATCAGGCTCCCTGTTCGGCGGGGAGCCTGCTTCTCCTCTCTCACTCCCCCTGCTTGTGTTCCCTCTCTCGCTGTGTCTCTCTCTGTCAAATAAATAAATAAAACCTTAAAAGAATAAAATAAATAAATAAAAAGAAAAGCAATCACTTTTTTTTTAAAGATTTTACTTATTTATTCATGAGAGACAGAGAGAGAGAGAGAGAGAAGCAGAGGGAGAAGCAGGCTCCCAAGGAGCAGGAAGCCTGATGCAGGACTCGATCCCAGGACTCCGGGATCATGATCTGAGCCCAAGGCAGACGCCCAACCATCTGAGCCACCCAGGCACCCCGCAATCACTTTTTAAAAAAACTATACAAGCTACTCTGAAGTTCACTTGGAAAAATAAACCAAGAATAACCAGGAAAATTCTGAAAAAAATCCCAAATGAGGCAGAAACTAGCCTTCCCAGATATTTAAACATTTTATAAAACTAGAGCAATTAAAATAGTTCAGTGGTGCATGAATCGACAGACTAAAGTAATAAAATAGAAAATCCAGAAACAGACTCCTATCACACAAGATTTCAGTTATATGATAGAGGTGGAATTTCTAACAGAAAGATTAACTAGTCAATCAACAGTACTAGTACAACTGTACAGCCAGCCATCTGAACCAAAATGAAGAGAGCTTCCTAACTCACTTCCTATGTCAAAATAGTAAGCAAAAGGGCGCCTGGGTGGCTCAGTCATTGGGCGTCTGCCTTCGGCTCAGGTCATGACCCCAGGGTGCTGGGATCGAGCCCCGCATCGGGCTCCCTGCTCAGCAGGAGGCCTGCTTTTCCCTCTCCCATTCCCCCAGCTTGTGTTCCCTCTCTCACTATCTCTCTCTCAAATAAATAAAATCTTAAAAAAAAAATTCAATCTGAATTTCGCTGAATATGTACATTCCCGCGATGTTATTTCTTTAATATGTCTCCCCACCTCCAGTTTTCTGTAAATTGGAAACTGTTACTTTCCTTTCCCCCTTCCTGACTACTTTTTTTGAAGGGAGAAGCGGGGAGGTAAGAATACTTCATAGAGGGCGCCTGGGTGGCTCAGTTGGTTAAGCGACTGCCTTCGGCTCAGGTCATGATCCTGGAGTCCCAGATCGAGTCCGGCATCGGGCTGCCTGCTCCGCAGGGAGTCTGCTTCTCCCTTTCCCACTCCCCGTTTGTGTTCCCTCTCTCGCTGTGTCTTTCTCTGTCAAATAAATAAATAAAATCTTTAAAAAAAAAAAGAATACTTCATAGAGGGGCACCTGGGTGGCTCAGACGTTGGGCGTCTGCCTTCGGCTCAGGTTGTGATCCCAGGGTCCTGGGATTGAGCCCCGCGTCGGGCTCCCTGCTCCGCAGGAAGCCTGCTTCTCCCTCTCCCACTCCCTCTGCTGCTTCCCCTACTTGTGCTCTCTCTCTCTTTCTCTGGCGCTCTCTCTCTCAAATCAATAAATAAAATCTTAAAAAAAAAAGACTAACTCTGACTCAATAAAAACATGTTTCTGCATGATAAACAAACAGTATAGTCAAAATCAAGACACAATGAAAAAAGAATCCTGTAAGCCAGGCAAAGAAAAAGATACACAGATGGCTTTAAACCAGAATTTCTCAACCTGCACTATTGACATTTTGGACAAAATAATTCTTTACTGTAAGGGATTACGCTGTGCATTGCAGGACATTTACCAACGTTCCTGGACTCGAAAGATGCACATACCCCCATGCATACACAATTATGACAACCAAAAATATCCCCAGATATTGCGAAATGTCCTATAAGGGTCAAAATTGCTCCTTGATGTGGACCTTAAACATTTAAAAAGATCCCCATCCTCACTCGTGATGCAAAATTTAACTGTAATGTAGTGCCATTTTTTTCAATTAGGTTTTTATTATTAAAACAAATATTTTTATTACCAAACATTTTGTTGTTTGCCAATGTGTGAGATTAGAAATCTCTCATTCAATCTTTTGGGTGTGCAACTTATTTTGGAGCGCCAAGGATATCTGCCATCGAAGTACAGAGTGCACATACTTTTTCATCCAGGAACTTCGCCTCCAGGAATGTGTCACACAGACACACTCAAATATGTGCAAACAGTGGATACAAGTTTAATCACGCAGCAATTACGCAGTAATAAAAAACTAGAAATGATCTGGTATCCAATGATAGGGGACTGGTGAGACAAATAATGGTACATCAATAGAATACCATGTAACCACTAAAAGAGAAGATCTGCATATACATACCTAAAATGTATGCGTGTCCCAAGACATATTATGTAAAAATAAAAAGGGAGTGTGCTACGATTTTTTTTAAAGTGGTCTGTGTCTCTGTGTGTGTTTAGGGTGGTGTACAAATGTTTATAAACGCAGAGACTATCTCTGGAAACATACGAGAGAGTAACTGGGAAACTGAATATTGGGGATGGGGAAACTCACTTTCTACCTTACACCCTTTTGGACTTTTTTAAGTCTTTTTGCCATGTGCCTGTATGTTTCAAGCAAATTATAAAACAGACAAGTCACTCCGCTCAAGCCATTTACACTAGAAACAAAGTAGAAGGGTGGTTGCCAGGGGCTAAATAGGGAAAGGAGGAGAGGGAGGAGTTAACGGGTACAGAGTTTCTTTTGCAAGTTGAAAAAGTTCTGCAGAATGGTTGCAGACAATGTGAATATACTGTACACTTAAAAATGGTTAAGATGGTAGATGCTGGGGCACCTGGGTGGCTCAGATGGTTAAGTGTCTGCCTTCGGCTCAGGTCATGATCCCAGGGGCCTGGGATCGAGCCCCGCGACAGGCTCCCTGCTCAGCGGGAAGCCTGCTTCTCTCTCTCCCTCTACTACTCCTCCCTGCTTGTACTCTCACTCTGTCGAATAAATAAATAAAATCTAAAAAAAAAAAAAAAAAAAAAGGCAGATGCTGCTATGTGTATTTTACCAATATTTTAAAAAATTTTAAGTGAACTGCCCCCGAGAACCCGAGAAAAAGATACCCATATTTAAGATTAGTTTAATTTGTTACTAATTTGAAAATCACTTTTTAAGCACCCCGTCATTATTTCAGAACTGTGAGTTCGGAAAACGTGAAGAACCATTAGCGGTACAGTGACCTTTCACCCAGAACTTACAAAACCTTCAGCAAAACAATGCAAAAACCCAAGATAGGGCCCGTCCCGCGAGCGGCGGGGTAACCCACTCTGGATCCTTTACTTGTGGGAGAGATTTGCACGTGGCTGCCACCCTGAGGGACACAATTCTGGGGTACTTTCACGCGTCACCGCGGATTCCAGGAACACTGCGGCCAGCGTGGACCAGCACTCCAGAGCTCGCCCTCCCACCTCCGGGGCCGCGACCCCCGAGCCAGCCACTCTGGCCCCACCTAGCCGCGCACTCCGCCCGGCCGAGTCTTCCCCCTCTCCCCCTCCCCACCCCGCGACGCCCCCATGCCCTTACCCCGTGTTGGGTAACATGATTTTCCTAGAGCAGAGGCGGCGGCGACAGCTGCGGCAGCGAGCGTCCAGTGAGAGGCGGGGCTTCTCGCCTCATTTAGCCCAGTCCCTTGAGCCCCACCCCCCACTCCCCACCCCCAGGCCTGCGGGGAATGGGTGTCGGAGGTAGCGGCAGATCTCTGAGTGCGCCTGCGCACGCAATGGGCCTCCCGGCGCTCGGCGCTAGTTTCCACCTTCCCCGGCCCGGCCCCAGGAAACGAGCTCTCTGCGCAAGCGCTGGGAAAGAAAGGCAATTCCACCCCACCCTCTCGCGGGGCTCTGCGGTGACAATCGGTCTCCCGCCGGCGTCCGGCGTAGTGGGCGCGTCAGCCACTACGTACGTACGCTGCTCCCTGCTTCGTTACCGCGCTGGTGGGGTGGCCGTTTGAGTCGAGCGCTGGGGACCTAAAGGGCTAGGGTGCAGCTCCTCTGCAGAGGAGTACCTGACCTGCAAGTACTTTGGCTCTCGTTCTTCTGTCCCTCCGTGGCCCGAGCCTGGGTGCCTGTCCGGCTGCACGCGCTCCAAAGAGGGACAAGTTTTCCTCGCCAGATACTTGCTGCCAGAAGCCGGCCAGGATCGCATTTGGACTCTCGCAAGGAATCTGGACTAAAGCCCGCCGGACCTCACCCGTCTAAAGATAGCCCTGTGATGAGCAGCAACTTCTGGATCTGAACTCTTCGCAATAGCCTGGGGAAGAATGCATAGTTAGCTCTGGTCTTCCAGAAGAAACGCCCAAATTCAGTGCAGGAATAAGGTGAATTTTGGGATCTAGCACGGCGGTTTTTTTTTTTTTTTAATTTTTATTTAAATTCCAGTTAACGTACAGCGTAATAATAGTTTCAAGTTTACAATATAGTGATTCAACACTTCCATAGGACACCAGGTGCTCATCACAAGTGCACTCTAGTATTGTTTTTTTATAGTATACCTTGGACATTACTCAGCTACCCTAATGAACTGAAGACTGGCATATCTTTAGGGAGACGTGAAGAAATTGTATTTTGAAAGGGTAGAACAGGACAATGAGGTGGTTACATGAGGACTAGTTAAACTAGCTTGGAGATGGGATATGTCCTCTCCCATTTACTGGAAGCCCTAAATGGTTCTATTTATTCATGTATATTGCCAGCCTCCTATAGGCATTTGAATTGGTCTATGATATTGTCCTTAGAGACTACAGAAGAATTTGTTTATTCAACAAATAATAGCACCTAGTGCATGCTGGTCGCTGGAGATGCAGCCCGACAAAAAAAGACAAGGTCTGCCTGTGTGGGAGGAATGAGGAGTAGCCCATGTGTTACTTAGACTGTTGTAGATATTAAGTGTTTCAAAAGGAGTGTTGAGAGGGACTGTTAGATGAAAAGCTTATTCCACTCAAGAAAGTGAAAAGACAACCTACAGAATGGGAGAATATATTTGCAGTGATATATCCAGTAAGGTCTAGTATCCAGAATATATAAAGAACTCTTAGAACTCAGCAATAAAAAGATGAACAACCCAACTAAAAAGTGGACAGGGGCTCCTGGCTTGGTTGGTTAGTCGTCCTACTCCTGATTTCGGCTCAAGTCATCATTTCAGGGTGGTGAGATCCAGCCCTATGTCGAGCTTCCCCCGAGTTCGGCGTTGGCTTGGGATTCTCTCTTACCCTCTCCCTCTGCCCTTTCTCCCGCTCACACACACGTGTGCTCTCTCTCATTCACTCTCTCTTAAATAAATAAATAAACAAATATCTTTTTTAAAAAAGTGAACAAAGGGACGCCTGGGTGACTCCGTGTTAAGCGTCTGCCTTCGGCTCGGGTCATGGTCCCGGGGTCCTAGGATGGAGCCCCGCGTGGAGCTCCTTGCTCAGCGGGAAGCCTGCTTCTCCCTCTCCAGCTCCCCCTGCTTGTGTTCCCTCTCTCGCTGTGTCTCTCTGTCAAATAAACTAATAAAACCTTAAAAAAAAATGAACAAAGAATCTGAATATTTTTCCAAAGAAGATATGCAAGTGGTCAGCGAGCATATGAAAAGATGCCCAATAACATTAGTTATTAGGGAACTGCAAATCAAAACTACAATGAGATTCCACTTTACACATACTAAGATAGCTATAATAGGATATATGGAAAATAACAAGTGTTGGCCAGGATATGGAGAAATTGGAATCCTCGTGCATTGTTGGTGGAAATGTAAAAAGGCATAGCCACTTCGGGAAACAGTTTTGCAGCCCCTCAAAAAGTTAAAATTATCATCTACTGGAGATCCACATGCAAAAGAGCAATCGTACTTTTTGATATATCCCCAAGAGAAATGTAAACATATTCAGGAGAACCACCAGATGGCGCTGTTATTTTAAAATTCAAATTATATAAAGCAAAATGTCAATTTATTATTATGATACACTATTATAATCTGAGTTGATTAAGACAAATATAGCATGAAGTTCTCTACAGGACTCCTATTAAGGGGAAATAAGAGGAGGCATATTTTAAATTCCTTAAAATACTTTATATCATTAAAAATAGGATTGTGATACTCTAATTCATTTTATTATCTAAATTAATTATTAATTAATTATTAATATTACCAATACTAAAAAGTAATTTTGGGGGCACCTGGGTGGCTCAGTTGGTTAAGCGTCTGCTTTCTGCTCCTGGTCATGACCCCGGGTCTTGGGATCAAGCCATGAATCAGGCTCCCTGCTTAGCAGGGAGCCTGCTTCTCCCTCTCCCTGCTTGTGCTCTCTCTCTCTAGTAAATAAATACAATCTTTAAAAAAATAAATAGAATTTATTACAAAATAAAAATAAAAAGTAATTTTCAAATGCATGGGAAATTGAAAATGCAGACTTAAGCTGAAATATTAAAAGATAAGACATTGAGGGGTGCCTGTCTGGCTCAGTTGGAAGAGCATGTGACTCTTGATCTCCGGGTCGAGAGTTTAAGCCCCATGTTGGGTGTAGAGATTACTTAAATAAAAAACTTAAAAAAAAAAAAAAAGGTATGACACTGAGAACAACTTCAATCTGAAGTTATCAAATAAGGACTTTTCTAACTCTATCTTGCATAAGAATATATATATTTTTAAAGATTTATTTTATTTTTAGAGAGAGAGGAGGGACAGAGGAAGAGGGAGAGAATCCTCAGACAGACTCACTGCTTAGCAGGGAGCCTGACATGGGGCTTGAGATCATGACCTGAGCTGAAACCATGAACTGGATGCTTAACCAACTGAAACACCCAGGCATTCTAAGAATATCTTTTTTTAGGTATATAATGCAGTAACATTCAAGTTTGTTGACCACACCCACATAAAGAAAGAAAATTTTTTTAAGATTATTTGAGAGCGAGAGAGAGTGGGGGGGAGGGGCAGAGGGAGAGAGAATCTCAAGCAGACTCCCCGCTGAGCACGGAGCCCGATGTAAGACTTGATCTCATGACACTGAGGTCATAACCTGAGCGGAAACCAAGAATCAGACACGCAACTAACTGAGCCACCCAGGAGCCCCATAAAGAAAGAAATTTTTCATCTAGACCCAGTACACACAGTTTTCTATTTTATTGAATCTATTATATTCTATCAAGTTGATCATAACCTACTGAATTATTTTGATGACTCATTAATGGATCATAACCTACTGTTTGGAAAACACTGCTTTAGTGTGTTGTTATTTACCATTGTGATTTTTCAGCCTGCCTTTTAAGATATTCTAGGTTTCTCCAGTCAAATATAAAATTACTAATGAATGGTCAGAGACCAACAAACAATGCAGATGCTTTCAATGGCTTTGGAAGAGTCAAGGCTCTTGAAACTTTCAATTTCCTTCACCCACAAGACAGCTCACCCTGGTCCAGATTAAATGGGGAAATCCCTGGGGTTTTGAGGGTATGGCAGTTCCTTCTGATAATGTACCAAATCTTCCACAGAGGACTGCTAGCAGTACCTTTTGTTGCTCAAAGAATTATTCCCAGTCACTATTTTATTAGTAACTGTTGGATATTAACCTCAATGCTGTATTTTAATGTCTTTATATTTCTGATAATACATGACTACAACAATCTAGAGAAAGTGAAAACTTGCCTCTTAATACCATCTTTCAGAGATAATAATTGTTAATATTTTGGCATGTATCCTTTAAGACTTTGAAGTTTTACATAGGTTTTGATTATTTGTAAATCATAGGGGAGATTATGCATACCAAATTGTTTTGGACACTGTTTTTGTTTTACTTAATATATCATAGACATCTCTCCAAGTTTACACCTAAAAGTTTACCTTGACTTTTTATTTATTTTTTTAAAGATTTTATTTATTTAGAGAGAGCAAGCATGAGCAGGGGTAGGGGCAGAGGGAGAGAGAGAATCTCAAGCAGACTCCCCACTGAGCATGGAGCCTAATGCAGGGCTGGACCCCGGGACCCCAAGATCATGACCTGAGCTGAAATCAAGAGTCAGACACTTAACCGACTAAGCCACCCAGGTGCCACTACCTTGACTTTTTAAAAACAGGTGCATAGTTTTCTTTTATATGAATATACTGAAATTAATTTTACCATTCTCATTTGTCATGGAAATTTTAATTGTTTCAACATTGCCTCTATTATAAACAGTTTTGCGATAAAAGCTTTTGGGCATGCATCATTCTTCACTACTCATTTTTCTCCAGAATATATTCCTCGAATGGGACTGTTTGCTTAATGGATTTACACAATACAGTTTAGCAAGGTTGTGTTGATACAGTTGACCGTTGAACACTGGTTTGAACTGTGTGGGTCCACTTCTACGTGGATTTTTTTCAATAAATACAGTATAGTATTATAAATGTATTTTCTCTTCCTTATGGTTTTCTTAACATTTTCTCTGGCTTATTTTAAGAATACAGTGTATAATACATAGAACATACAAAATATGTGTTAATAGACTGTTGATGTTATTGGTAAGGCTTCTGGTCAACAGTAGACTATTAGTAGTTAAGTTTTTGGGGAGTCAAAAGTTACACACGGATTTTTGATTATGTGGGCCTCAGTGCCCCTAACCCCCACATTGTTCAAGGGTCAACTGTAACTTAGACCAGTATTTCTCAACCTTGCCGCTATTGACCTTTTGGGCTGGGTAATCTTTTGTTGCAGGAGTCTGTCACATGTATTGCAGTATGTTTAACCCCCACTCCCATGTATGTATGTTTAAATACATAACATAAAATTTACCATGTTAACCATTTTTAAGTGTATAGTTCAGTATCCTAAAGTACATTCACATTGTTGTGCAACCAGTACCACCATCCTAGCCCTTCCGGTTTTGATGCTCCAGAAATTGCTGAATGTCCTCTGGAGGGCAAAATTACCCTGGTTGTTTACACCATCACAGAGGTAAATGAGAAATCAAAAATGTCAATGTCATTAAAAGGAAAATGAGAAGCTGAAGAGCTGTAATAGATTAAACAAGACTAAAAAAGACCTTACAGGGGCGCCTGGGTGGCTCAGTTGTTAAGCATCTGCCTTCAGCTCAGGTCATGATCCCAGGGTCCTGGGATCGAGCCCCACATTGGGCTCCCTGCTCCGCGGGAAGCCTGCTTCTCCCTCTCCCACTCCCCCTGCTTGTGTTCCCTCTCTCGCTGTCTCTGTCTGTCAAATAAATAAAATCTTTAAAAAAATAATAATAATAATAAAAAATAATAATAAATAAATAAAAAAGACCTTACAGGGGCGCCTGGGTGGCTCAGTTGGTTGAGCGACTGCCTTTGGCTCGAGTCATGGTCCCACGGTCCTGGGATTGAGTCCCGCATCGGGCTCCCTGCTCTGCGGGGAGCCTGCTTCTCCCTCTCCCACTCCCCCTGCTTGTGTTCCCTCTCTCGCTGTGTCTCTCTCTGTAAAATAAATAAATAAAATATTAAAAAAAAAAAAAAGACCTTACAACTAAATGCAACACATGATCCTAAACTGGATTCTATACAGAAAAAGAAAATTTGCTATAGCACAATCAACAGATTGGAATATGTACTACAGATTAAACTATTGCATCAATGATAAATTTCCTGAATTTGATAACTACTGGGGTTATGTAAGAGAATGTCTGTATTGGGAGATGGGGGGATGGGTTAGCCCAGTGATGGGTATTAAGGAGGGCACATATTGCGTGGAGCACTGGGTGTTATACGCAACAATGAATCATGGAACACTACATCAAAAACTAGTGATGTAGTGTATGGTGACTAACATAACATAATAATAATAAAAAAAGAGAATATCTGTGTTCCTAGTATGAAATATTAAGGAATAAAAGAAAATTAATACTCACCTCCTCTCAAGTGTGTGTGTGTGTATCTGTGTGTTGTGTGTAGAGAGAGAGGGTACGCTAAAACAAATGTGGGAAAATGTCAAAAATTGGTGATTTGGAGTTAAGATGTATGAGAGTTCCTTTTTTTTTTTTTTTGTTACAACTTTCCTGTTAGCTTGAAATTAATTCAAACTAAAAAGTTTTATATTTTGTTTTAAGTGAAAGATAATGCTTATACCTGAGACTATTCATTGCCTGCCCAGGCTTTTCAATTCCTTGTCCTTGCTAATTTTGCTCTCATCCACACTTCAGAGAAGTTTAGAATACAGTTTAGAATAAAATCCTGATTAGTCTAGGTCAGTGGTTCTTAAACCTTAATGTGCACCAGAATCAACTGAAGAGGTTTGTAAAACATAGATTAATGAGCCTGACCTCCGGAGTTTCTGATTTACTAGGTCTTAGACAGTGGAGTTGAAGAATCTGTAGTTCTAACAAGTTTCCAGGTAAGGCTAATGCTGTTGGTTGAGGCACCAAAAGGTGTAGGCTGGTAGTTCTCAACCTTGTTTGCAAGTTGGAATCACTTGGGGATCTTTTAAAAATTCTGATGTCTGGGCGCCTGGGTGGCTCAGTCGTTAAGCTTCTGCCTTCAGCTCAGGTCATGATCCCAGGGTCCTGGGATCGAGTCCCACATTGGGCTCCCTGCTCAGCAGGAAGCCTGCTTCTCCCTCTCCCACTCCTGCTGCTTGTGTTCCTGCTCTCGCTATCTCTGTCTCTGTCAAATAAATAAATAAAATCTTAAAAAAAAAATTCTAATGTCTGGGTCTTACTGCTAGAGATTCTAATTAATGGTATGGGGTACCCATAGGTGGTATTTTTTTTTTAAAGCCCCTCAAGTGGTTCTAATATGCAGTCAAGATTGAGAATCACTGACCTTAGTCAGTGTAATCCCATTCCCCTCACTCATTCCTTGTTTAGAAGGGGATATGTTATCTAGTTCTGGCAAATGTGAGGTCTGCTGGGAAAGGTTTTCTTATTTTAAGAAAGAGACCGCAGGGCGCCTGGGTGGTTCAGTCTGTTGAGTGTCCAACTCTTGATTTTGGCTCAGGTCATGATCTCAGCGTCATGAGATCAAGCCCTGTGTCAGGCTCCTCCCTCAGTGGGGAGTTTGCTTGTGATTCTCTCTCTCCCTCTCCCTCTGCTCCTCCACCACTTGCAAGCGCTCTCTCTGAAATAAATAAATAGATCTTTAAAAAGAAAGAAAGAGCCCACAGAATAGGTTGCCTCCTCTCTTCTAGATGTTAATACAGGGTGTGATGCTTGGAACACCTGCATTTATGTTGCATCATAGGGGTATTGGTCTTCCCCTTTCCTGTGACTCCTTCAAAGGTGAGCTTTCTCCTGTAATATTCAGGAAAGAAAGGCTAGAGTTGGGAGGCAGCTGTCTCAGTACCCTCCTGAGTTTTCCACCTAGCATTCCCATACTCTCACTGCTCCAACGTACGCCGGGGGTTCTCCTCGCTTTGCAGCTGCCATCTCTTAGAATTCCAAGAAGCAGCTCCCTCAGTAGACAACTCCTTGCTTGCATGAGTGCAAGTCATGAGTAGAATGGGTACGTAGGTGTGTGGGTCATGCCTTATTTCAATTTTCTGCTCGTTGGTTTATTTACTATCCATCTTCACACAACTCTTAACCAAAGTGTTGAGGCTTACATGAGGGAATTACATGTATATATTATAATTATATGTATAAAATAATTAACTTTATACTTTATGGGACAACCGCTGTGTCAGAGACTGATATTTGCCTAGCTATAATGCATTCTCTGCTTCTTTTTACCAACAGTATCCATTACTGGAGGTGTCCGTGTGCCCAGAAAAAAACCTGTATCACTCAGCCTGCCTTGTAACTAGGAGTGGCCATGTTACCAATTTATGGCTAATGAGACATAAGTGGAAGATATTGCAGTGGACTTCTGGGAAAGCTTCTTTAAAGAGCTTCCAGCCATTTTGTGATCTTAAGAATGAAAACCATATGTTCACATAACAAAACAAAAGGGAGACTGGGTCTCTGATGAACATGGAATGTCATAACAGCCCCGAAACTACTACTTCTAGACTTTTTTTGCAGGAGAAATTAATCTTTATCTAGTTTAAGACACTGTAATTATTTTTTGTTTCCTGTTATATGCATCTGGACCTAACTCGTAAATGATACCCTATCTCAAGGCAAAAGTATCAAAAGAATATAAACCATTGCAGGGGGTTCCCTTTTGAGCATACCCAAATCCCTAGCTTTGTTTCTTGTCTTCATCTCTGCTTTTCTCCCTAAGAGCATCAATATTGTTCAAATTTCCTTCTTCAAAATTACTTTTATGGGCACCTGGGTGACTTAGTCGGTTAAGTGTTGAACTCTTGATCTCAGCTCAGGTCTTGATCTCAGAGTCGTGAGTTCTTAAAAACAAAAATTGCTTTTAGTATCTCCATCCCCTTTTAGGAGATCCCATGCCCCACTCATAGGAGTTGGTCTTATATCAGGATCCATCCTCCTTTCTCAGGTCATACATTTTCCCAAGCCTGAATTATTCATTCTATTTAAAATATGACTTAAGCAAGAGAGTCTGGGTTGGGTGTGGGTATTCCAAGTCCAGTTCCCTTGAGATATTTCCACCTAATTCTTCCTGGTATCCAGCAAATAACTATTCTGTCAAACACACCCACATCTCCTAAAGTCAGGCATTAATTCTGTGACACAATACTCTATTGTTAGTATGTGTAGTCTTTGCAAGCTGAGAGAGAAAGTTACTTGACTCTTCTATAATCAACATGGCTTCATCCCTGCTCACTATAAAGATAGCATTTAATTTTGCAGAATAATATTAATTCTTTATCTTCTAGCTTTCAAACTGTGCCTAAAAGCCATAAAAAACAAATTTAAAGAAACCCATTCAAAGTTAGCTTAAGAATCATGCCCATAATTGAGCCATCTATCTCTTAATGGCCTCTGCTTTAATACATAAAGATCAAGCTCTGGAATTACCAAATGTGTTAATTCTGTGCCAAATTAAATTCTTGTTGGTGTCATCCTACTACCTCCCTCTACTAAATTAAATTCTTGATTAGGGTCTCACACTCCTACTTTTCCAGGAGATGAGAGGCTATATGAGGACTTATTATCCTCTGATAGAAGTTATTCTCCACCTCCATGGATGGGGGTGGGGATGGGGAGATTTGCTTTTCCAGTTACCTAAATAGCATATCTTCATAGAGAAGTGTTCCAGATTGTTCTTTTGTTTTGTTTTTCTGCTACTGACCTTTTGCTTGTTTGCCTGTTCAAGGTTGAACATTTGCCTGGTGTGCCCTGTGGGATTATCTGCAGTTAAACATTTTTTAGAAACATATTGGGGAGGGAGAACAACAGCTCTATTCAGTTGTCTGGCATCCCAGGAACCTTTCCACTGACTTATAGACTATGATCTGCTTTTTTGCACAGGCTAATATTTCAAGAAAAGGCAAATGAGGAAAAGGAAAATATACTCAACAATCTATCTGGCTCCTTATTAAACAGTTATGTCAAAAAATTTAGAGAAGGTTTGAATTAGTGTCCAGAGTAAAGGGCTTGTTCTAGTTGCAAAATAAAATCTATAATTGCTATTGGTGATATGTTCTCAGATGCCTAAGAAGGGACTATTTTGTCCCATATAAGAACTTTTACAGTGTTATAGGCATCTGTAATATGTATCAACTTCACATATCTATAGACAAATGGGATATGAAGGCAGGAAAAGCAAATCAGCTCAGTATAGTAGACTAACTTCAATTCAGGGAGGAAGAGTTGTAAGTAACAGCTTAAATGGAAAAAGGAAAAAAAAAGGGGGAGTTGCCCTTTCCCTTTGCTCCCCTACTCACTGCTACTTCTTTCCACCTCCTTCCTTCTTTGAAAATGCTGAGGTGAATCACATGTGAGTTAACCAGTTAGGGACAGATAAAGTAAGAGACAATCATGTTAAGGGCTGGTGAAAGGAAGAGTAGAAAAAAATTTGTTTTAAAGATTTTATTTATTTATCTGACAGAAAGAGACACAGCGAGAGAGGGAACACACAGGGGGAGTGGGAGAGGGAGAAGCAGGCTTCCCGCGGAGCAGGGAGATTGATGCAGGGGCTCAATTCCAGGACCCTGGGATCATGACCTGAGCCAAAGGCAGACGCTTAACAAATGAGCCTCCCAGGCGCCCCAGGAAGAGTAGAAATATTTTAATGAAAGTCATTAATGGTTACATAACTTCCAGGGAAGAGGGAAGTCTAGGAAAGTGAACAGAAATGAACCAAAACCAGAGAAGAAAATATCAAGTATAATGAAACTAGGGAACTGCCATAATCTTACCACAGACTATGAAGAATACCTTCCAAATTTGTCCCAAATTAAGGAAGGCAGTGAGATTTGATAAGCATTTCCTCTAAATAGCAACTCAGTGCCATTTTTAGAAAGTAAATGAGATGGTCATAAAGGTCCAAAAGTAATATGAAACTTGAAGAAATAAGCACTAGGGACATGGGTGGACCATGGAAAAATTAAGGCCACCTTGGCATCCATT